CCAGGACGTGGAAATCTGCAGTGAATCAAACTGTAACATCAAAGTGGTTCCTATTCATTTCCTTCTGTTTAAATAGTAGGAGAAACAGAAAGTGTTTTCCCAGCATTTCTGTCATTTTTAGTGACCACAGAATTCCCTATATAACACGTGAAAATAAATTATAATCCTTAAAACCAGAATCGTGTATTCTGGCAAATATTTCAGCTAAAGGAGAAATAATTTCACATTCTCCAAATAGGAGCTCAGTATATCAACTAGAATATAGAAGCATAAAGACTTAGTTCTGTGTGGGGAAATTCCTGGAAATCTCAAAACTTTATCTTGGCGTAGTTCCAAGGTGATGGTACGATGATGAAGTTGTGCTTCATTGAGTTTAGGCTGTTTTGTTCAACTTGGGATGACTTTCAAGAAGTTCATCATCGTGTTACCCTGTGAAAATAAGTAATGCATTTCCACACAAATGCAGTCACAAAGGGGCTCTTCCCTCACGGCTGCTGTGAACATATTGATATTCTTTCACGGTGGGTATCATGTCAGGAGAAATCAGGTCAGCAAAGGGTTCCCTGTGAGCCGTTCTGCATGGGGACAGGCACTGTGCTGACTTCATCGAGGGACTGGCCCTTCGGGTCATTCACGCTGACCCTGAACAGGCAGCCAGAGCAACCCGGTGATCTCTGTAGAAATGCAGTGTGCTAAGACTTCTCTAAATTGAGATTTCTGATGGTAAAGGAAATGTTAGACATCTTCTGGGCTTTAAAACTGAACTGAATGGGATGTCACCTGCTACAATTGATGTTATGGTTCTACTTTTATTTTGAAATGCTTACCTAGAACATCAATAAATTGTTTCCCAGATGGAGTGGCCAGATTTAGCAAATCAAAATACAAAATTCCTAGTTAAATTCAATTTCAGATAACCAACAAATAATTTTTTATGTAAGTATGTGCCAGGTAATGTGTGTCTCATGCTGCATATGGGACATACCTGCACTAAAAACTGTTGTCTATCTGAAATCCAAATTTATCTGTGCATATCATATTTTATCTGGAAACCATACTCCTGTAGTTTATTCAAAATTATATTCGGTTGACATGCAGAATTCAATTTCAGTTTCAATGATGGCAATGTTACCTTCTTTCCCCTCCCATTTAACCACCAGAATTTCTTGCCTTTGCTGTTTTCACTGTCCCATCTGCTTCTCTGTTGATCTCTCTGTGCTTTTAGGTATAAAATTATTAACATATTTTAGTTTTATGTCTGGCTCCAAAGACAGACTTTAGAGGTCTAATGTAGTTTGAGTCTTTAAGATACATCAAAATTTTCCCATTTATTCTCTTTTTTTCTTTTTATGCCTCTTCCCATGATTTCTTTAGGTTGTCGCCATACCTTGAAGTCTTTTGTTTTTGTTGTTTTAAGACTTGGGATTGAATAAATATGTTTGAATTTGCATATACACATAAATACATACTATGATGCTTGAGATAAAAATAAATGATCTATGGAAAATTTTATTCAAGTTATTATAAAGAAATTTTAATCCCTCAGGAGAATTCTAATACCCAGCTTTTTATAGAAGTAGGGGAAATAAACCCTAGAAACAATAACATAAAGAAACAATTACTCTTATTTTAAAGATGAAATGCTGTTTTTCTATAAACTTGGCTTTGCAATAAGGACGCTATGTCTCTGTTCTATATCTCCATGAAAATGGGTGGTGAGAGGTCCCAAAATAGCCATTGTCCTGCCTGGCAAGCGCAAGGTCATGAGTTCGATTCCCAGAACCGGGAAGAAAACAAAACAAAACAAAAAAATGGCTATTGTCCCCACAAACCAAGCTCTATAAAGTGCTTAGGACAGATGAGGGGAGATGGCTTTTGGGGAGCCAGGAGAATGGCAACCCTGTGGTCGCTGAGGTAAACTCTAAGCACACAATGTAGCAAGCCATTTTTAAATAATTGCACCATATAGAAATTGTTCCATAATTCAGAGTGTGTTGATTCACAGCAGTACACACGGGTGTGCATGTCCATGTGCTCAATATAGGAACCTATGTGTCTCTTAAAGGATTTAAAGGCTCTGATTTGGATTTTGATGAGGCTTTTTTAAAATGTTAATTGAAATAGACTAGATTTCCTGGATGGGCCATTTCTAAAAGAAATTAGAGTACATTCACAGTGTATAATAGTTTGACTCACACTGTTGTAGTATTCTCATATCTCTTCCAATGAAGTTGAGCAGAAAATTGGAGTTTAATCACACAGAAAACTTGACCTTCTGATGTAATCAGGACCAAGTTGAGTATATCCAAAATAGATGTTTCCTATTGATCTTAATTTAAATGGTTTATAGCATAATTAATAATTTGCCAAAGAAACACAGAGGGTCATATGAGTTATTTAGTTTCAGGGAAATAAAAAATTTCTACCTAAAATTACCTCATCTCCAGCAAGCAGCTGCTTCTTGGCAATAAATCAGACAAGCATTGCTTCAGAGATGAGAACCGAGGCAGCTGAACTCAGCATTAGCAGTATCCCAGCCGCCGCCGTGAGGGGGAGTAAGGAAGCCCTAGGTCACGGCCACGGGCTGGGGTGAGACTGAATGAAACGGTTTTAAAAGAGTGGGAAGCTAAAGTGCTTGCCAGAGGAGGAAAGGGGTCAAACTGAACACCCTCTCTCTGTGTCTGTGCTTGGCCGATCTCCCTCTATGCCATTTTAGTTCTGTAGCCCCTGAGCCGCAGTCAGGTGATCATACATTTTCCCGAAGAGGAAGAACCTTTTTAAAAAAAATAATGCCTTACGTGGAGATGAGAGCTCCATAATATAAGAGCCATTTTCATACAAAGTCTAAGAAACTCCCAGCACTAATCAAATGTTAAACAGCAAATGCTCAAAACCTGCTTCGGCATTCTAGGAAGGCAGCAACACAAAGAAAGCAAGGAAATAATTGAATGTTCTGACATTGTAAAAATGTGTAAATGACATCTTTTCACAAAAAAAGAGAAAAAGAAAAGCTATTGCTGGCAGTTCCATGAAACAGCAAGTTAATTTTATCCCTCACTGAATATAATGATTACTTAGTCAATGGGTTAAAATTCTTTCACTTTTTAACTCATGGGTTAAATTGTTTTTCACGGGCATTTTACAAAAAAAGTCCAGCAGAAAAATGTGTTCATCTGTAATTGTTACTCTTTTTTTTAATTTTTTTTTATGTTTTTTTTTTTTTTCTGGTTCCGGGAATCAAACTCACGACCTTGCACTTGCCAGGCAGGCACTGTGCCGCTGAGCTAAATCCCCAGCCCCTTGTGATTGTTACTCTTAACCCTTTCCAAAAAAAGGATATTATTAAATCCGTATCATTATATTATAATCAAATCAAACATTGAAAATAAATTTTTCTTTAGCATAAAAGAGAGATAAGAACTGAGTGTGTGAGACAGAAAGAAAGCTACTGCTACTCAAGCTGCTTGGTTAAGGTAGTGCTATGTGTGAGCGTTCACTTTAACCCTGTGCCCCAAGAAAAGCTGAGGAGCCAGGGAGGTAGCTCAGGGGGACAGGCACCTGGCAAGCACAGGGTCCTGAGTTCAA